AAAACTTCATTCTGGAAAGATGTTGCAGGTGATCGAGTAGGCTGTGAGTGCTGCAGGCTGCGAGTCCTGTATGCAGGGAGGCTGCTGACTGCAAACCAAGCTAGTAAGGGCCATGCCTTGGGGAGACAACAGTAGCCATCCTCAGGTCTACTGTGGCAGAGAGGGACACAACAAATGCAGCAGCCAGAGACATGTCCTGAAGCAGGACTTTCTTCTTAAATGTAAATGTGGCTTCTCTTGGTGCTGCAGAGTTTCAAGAACTTCTTTTGGTCACTCCATTAGGTACTCCCAAACTAAAACAACATTGGGTTTTTGGGGGTGAGGTGTAATAACGACACCGAGCCACGAGGTGGCAATGGGTCTCTATCACTGCAGGCAGAGCTTTCCCAGCTACTTCCAGTTTAGTAATCCTTATACAAAGAACTTTTAAATGCATTTAAATTGATAACGAAAGCAGGGAAAATATGGTTTCAATCACATTCTCAGCAAATCTTTTTTTTAATGTATTTTTTTTTATAAATGTGTAAGTAATTAGGTAAAGATCCCTAGAGTTTAAACTTTGAGGAGTATCAGTTATTTCCAAATGGTTTAGACATATGTTAGTGTCCTGAAGAAAACTGGAAGAGATGGATCAGCTGATAACTGCTTTGGACAGTTAAAAAAAATAAAAAGAAAGGAACAGAAAATCACATTAAAACACCTTGATCAAATCACCACTCTCTCCTATCTAAATATTTCTCTTAAGTAAATGAAGGCTTGTCCATTCTTCAAAAAAAAAAAAAAGCTGGCTTCATTTTTACATGTTAGTGCTCTTGAAACATACCAGCTTTGCCTATTCGATTGTTTGCGCTGGCAGCCCATAGCAAAAAGCTTGTCCTCTTAGTTGAAGGAAAGGCTATTGAACACAGGAGGTAACTGAGGGGTAGAGCAACAAAACAGCAAACGCGTCTGGAGACTGAAGTCTGGCTTACTCATGAGGCTGGCAGGCCAAGGGCAATGACTCTGCAAGAATAACCTACAGAGGTGGAGACAGGCGCTTAAAAACCAAGGCCTGATGAATCCTTGCCACTTCTGCCAAGAACAGCAGAAGGGTAGAGCCAGGAAAGATGGTAGCTTTTCGGCTGTAAACACTTGTTGGGTAATGATTGGCCTGAGATCATGATTTGTGCCATGTGTTCTTAGATTTATACCAGCAATCAACTTCAAAACGTGCTCCTAGGAAAAACGTGTTGTTTGCCTTATTTTCACAGCATCTACAGGGAAACACAGTGCTCAGCAGAGCACGTATCAGCCTGTCTTCCCAAAAACTTAGGGACACACGAGCAACAATGCTCGTCCCCAAATTGGTATTTTTTGCTCCTGTCAGTCAGCCCTGTTCAACTAGGTACCTAGCAGAAGTGCATGCAATCCCTGTAGTTGTAGAGTGGATACAGATCACACACCACCACAACCAACTCCTCAGATAAATGACTTATGCCGTTGCCTTAATCTGCAAGTTAAGGCAGTTTTGTTTCACAAAATTACACACATGCACACAGAGATTGGTGCTTGCTAACCACGTTGTCAAAGCACAACTGTTTTCTTGTGCAAAGTTTACCACCACGCCTGGAGCTGATGGAGTTAAACAGTGAACAGCACAGCTAATTACTATGTACTGCTAACCTCAGTTGCTGGTTCATTTTGAGACCCTTTAAAATATGAACCGTGTATTTTACCCCTATGCACTCTCTTAATGATTTGTTTTTTTTAGACTGAAATCACTTCCAGCCATCAGTTATACTCATGGTCTCTACACATGCACTTCTCCAAGCACAAATATTTTTTTTTCCTATTGGTCTGCCAGCCCCTGTCAGAGCAAATTTCACTTTAAACTAAATGCTATGATACTTAAAACCTCTTGGATTACTCAGGCTGCTAGTGTGATCTATGACCTTCCCCAAATGACAGCTGAACTTTCCAATTTGCTTGTACTGCCGGGGAACTGAAGAACACATGCCAAAGAGGAAAATGTTCCTGATGTGCATGAGTGAGGAGAGATTTCTTAACAGCTCTGCTTATTGATACTTACTCTGATTCACAACATCCAAATTAATATGCCCATCTAGGATCCTAGGTGTCCTGACATAATATAAAATGTAAAGGCCAATCGTGTCCCCCCTCACAGCAGGAAATGCCAGCCAGCATCCCACTGTGTCCACAAAATACTTACTTTCCTTAACTTCCTCCTGTGTCCAGAGCCTCAGAGACTAGATAGGCTTTGTGGTATGTCTGGAAGACTCGGCAGCCTCAGACAGGGAGCACTCTGCCAGCAACCCTCTGCAGGGGTTCCCGTTCGGGTATCTTTGCTGCTCGTGAGTGCACAGTACAGGAAGAGAGGCTCTTGAGCTTAGTCTGAACTAGGGTAATTAGCACCTGGGTGCAGACTGACCACAGAGCAAGGCTGCTTTCTTTAAGTTTTCC